TGGTTACTCTCTCTCTCTCTCAGCCCAACCCACCTCACAAGATTGTGGTGTAGAACCTGGCCAGTTTACCTGCCTAAGGTGGGACATGGAGTCCCTTTTGAAGCCTGGGACCTCAATCAATATTTCTACCTCTAATATTTTTGTAGGGAAGAGCAACAAAGTTGATTAGGGGACTGGAGGCTAAACCATATGAAGAAGGGTTGCAGAAACTAAGTAAGTTTAGTTTAAAGGAAAGGAGGACTATGGGATAAATGATAGCAATCTTCCAATATCTCAGGGGCTGCCACAAAGAAGAGGGAGTCAATCTATTCTCCAAAGCACCTGAGGGCAGGAAAAGAAGCAATGGGTGGAAACTATGCCATTCTATTTAGCTAGGTTTTCTAAGGCACATGCATGTGTGCAAGCTTCACATGGGAGCAAAGTGCATGCGCAAAAGGTGTGCAGGCACATTTTCGATGTGTGGTGAACCTGTAATAAAATTATGGGAAACTCACCTCTGCTTGAGAAATCAAGTTCTTTTTTAAAACATTGAGATAATGTATTACTCTACAATCTTCTTTATTGGTGTATATATTTGTATGCAATTTATTTTTTGAAAATTCATATCAGTCAAATATAATATGTCCCTCAATGTTTTCCATATACATTTTATAAGGATTCTCAGATTCTCGCTGAGCATGATAGACCTGAAATTTTGGAAATAAGGCTTCCAACTGTTCTTCATGTATTTTACCCTTCAGACTTTTAACAATCTTAGTTGCTCTTTCGTGAAAACAGGCCAAAAATGTTCTATTCAGTGTATAAAGCACACCCAAATTTTCACCTTCATTTTTTGGGGGAAAATGTGTGTCTTATACTTGGAAAAATACAGGTAGTTGAAATAATGATCTCACAGGATTCCTAGTATGAACACATGGTTTAGCCACATTTTTGTTCCCTGTAATGAGTAGAAGATACTGAAAAGAGAGGATTCATGAAATAGTGTAAGGTTTGTGTTGGTAGGTGTTGTCTGAAGAGGGAAAGCATGGGGTTTCTTTAAAGGGGAAATTGATCCCTCATTTACATATCAGTTGGGATAAAATAATGCCTCAGTGCAGGGGTGTCAAACACAAGGCCTGATCGGGCCCACAATGCGCTTACACCTGGCCTGCAGCTCTGCTCTGAAAAGAGCAAAGGACTGTCCCATGGTTCGAAAGCCTGCACCTAACAAACAGAGAGCTAATAGTCATTCTGGCTCCCTC